CCATCATGACCTGCAACAGATAAGATAAAGAGCTCTGAAGAGGACTGCAGAGTTTTTATGAGTAATCACTTGTTCAAATAACTGCCTATATTCCGTGTATTCAAAGAAACTAGTACCAATTTCCCCACTGGGTTCTTACATGCTAGTGACACGATTGTCATTTTCTCACAGCTCTCTCAAGAACCCACATCTACTTTGTCTTGTGGAAAAAAACACACCGGCAATGCTTGATAACTTGAAGAATTCATGTTCAAAACAAGTCCTCTCCACCTTCTCTACTGCAGTTTCACTACCTGAAAAATGGACAGTTAAAGTGAAAGGAAATGGAGTATGACATCAGACATGAGGCCAAGTCCTTAATTTGTTTTTCTTTGCTGAGGCTGAACTCAAGGAAGTCAACTGATCCTTGCTTGAGTCAGTAATGAGCAGAAATTAAGGAAGGGCTTGAAGACTAGGTCTTTGATGATTAGCTCAGTACCTTCTGTGTAACCCCAAATGCTCAAAAGAGTACAGAGAAAGAAAGGAAAACTACCCCTTAGCACTGGTCATTGTCAGCTCAGGCAGGAGGACTTCAGTATTCATAGAATCAGGATTCTACAACAGAACTGATAAAACCCCATGGAAATGAGAACAAGATTGGAGGCTGGGCAGTTGCAGCTGGGTGGCTGAGAAGGTTAAAATAAAGCCATTTACAGTTTTGACATATTCCCCTCTCTTCAAAATCACTGTGAAGCACAAGGCTGTATGCATGTATCTCCTCTACGATGCTGAGCGCATCACAGGATTCCAGATCAGACTGGAGATACATTCTGCAAAGCAATAGCTCAAGGATGTAATCCAGATGCCTATACCACCTTCCTCAGTAAATTCCATACCTGGTTCAGAAAGTCCAAGACTGCATTTGCAAAGCTGTCATTGAAACTATTGTACACCATGCAAACCATGCAATTACAGTAAAACAAATGACTGCTTTTACCCATGGGTATAGAACCTGTACAAAACAGACTGGTTCTAAAAACACATAATACCATGCCAACAGTTCCCCCCCCCTCAAAAAGCCATCAAAAAAAAGAATGATAATGTACAAAAAAACCCAATATGTGACCCTCTTAGTCTCCATAGAACTGGGGACACCATTTTTCTTGAATCTAAGTGTTATGGCCCAATTTTGTATTGAATCATCACTCAGACAGTCTTATTGACCCAATGGAATTGTACCAATCCAAATCAACACCAGCTGTCCAACATTCTTCCCTTGACTCCCAAACCTTTCCAATTCTATTCTTCCCACCTCACAAAACAAGCCTTGAATGAATTCAATGGCAGGAGTACAAATGCAACACTGCAAAACTGACCAGTTCTATGTATTCACAGCCATAGCAGCCAGAGAGAGTCAGTAATCCTGGAATCATCTGATTAGACAGCACATAAAGCCAAATTTAATTCAATTGTTTTTCTGCCTGCAGCAGTAGTAGGGAAAGGAAAGCTATTAGTAATCCCTTTCTGTGTTGCTCTAGCTGTAAATAAGTGTTTTTAGTGGATTACCCAAGGATGTAGATTTTATATTATAAAACTTCCTTATTGCTGCATTAACTATGAATGTAAATTGAGGTGTAAAAGGTAATGGATATACAACCAAGACTGCTCAGGGTGTAAATTCTGCTTCAAGGGGCTTGATTGAAGACTTGGATTACAGCATAGATGAGCAGATTTATATTTATATTGTCAGGTTGATCTGAACCACACAAGACCTTTCTAAATAAGAGAGCAACTTAAGCAGATTAAAACAATATTGTACAAATATGTAAATAGTCCTGCTTCACCCCATTTTCTCCCATGCACATCACTTGTAAGCATTTATTATATGTAGAAAAATAATGTTCAGTTACTTAGGATTAAGCTCATAAGGAACAGAAACTGCTGAGGTAAGTGCTCAATGATTTGGCTGGCTCCAGTACTAATCAGGCAGCTGGAGGGCATCCTCATTGCACATTGTGTCAGGAACTGTGTGTGACTCCACAGAGTGTGAGGGGGAATCTCACACTCGAAATTCCTGGTGCTGAGAGACTGCGTGCTGAGAGTGTCTGTCATGGAGCTATTCTCACCTTGTGGAAGATTGGAGTCAAGTGCTCTGGGATGCCTTTGTACACTCTTGGCTGACGCAGGTGAACAAGTTGACAGCCAAATGGGTCCAGTCTGGGAACTCTGCCAGCAGGAGAAGGAGCAGGCAGAAAAGAATCTGTCTCTGACAGCTGTAACTAAATATGTTGTTCCTACAGAGCTCGTAAAGGGTGGCTGGCATTACCACAGGGATCTTCTAACAGAAAGTAAGACTTTAGCCTTATGAGGTTTAAAAAAAGTGCTATTTACTATGCAACTGTTTACATTTGAAAAAGGCAGAGCCCTCTGCAGACATTAATCCTTTCCCCTGTTCCTCTCATGAGTATTTGACAACATTATATTTTTGCTCACATAAAAATTGCCCACCAATTGTTTTGTGTCATGTTCATAAATCATTTTCTCAGTAATAGTTTGCTTCTAGTGCATGTAACAAGCACCGGGAAAAGGACATGCATCTAGAACATATGACCTCTCTTGTTGGCTGTTTCATTGAACATGAGGTCTACAACACCTAAGGCAGACAGACCGAAAGGACTTGGGAAAAGCAAAGCTCACAGAGGCAAAAAAAGTATGTGTATTTGGCTTCTTGCTGTTTACAGGTTGCCAGCAATGAGGTGATGGTGTTCATACACTTATCCTATATGTACCCATGGTTATCCAGCTTTCAAACCGGGGCCATGCTGTGACTTGTTGCAGAAACCAGTGTCTCCTTACAGGAAAGCAGTATGTGTATATGTGTGAGTGTATGTGCAGAGTAGGACTCTGCACTGAATGACACAATGCTCATGATTCCTTCAAGAACCATGCAAGCTGTAAGTAGTGCATTTTGCCATAGCACAAGAACATTCAGCTTAGGATATATTTCAGGCTACGTTAGAATAAGAAAAAGTATCTGGTGAAAACTCTTTGGGTTTAAAAGTTCAAAAGTCACTTTCTGAGACTACTCCCCCTTTCCTGTAGGCAATTTGATGGCAGATATATTTGCTATTTTCACCTACATATTCATCACCAAAGTGAGAAGAGCAGTCTGAAAGGCATACTAATACAGAAAGCACAATGGTATTTCTTACAAGAAAAGTGGTCAGGTAAAAGGAAGAGATAAATGTTTCCCCGCTCAAGCCAGAAACACAGATACAGACCTAAACATAACTACAGATTCTGATGCCAGATTCATTACAAGGTGGGCATTTATTGTGTACAAGGGAACACAGTTCTGAGACTCTCTCCAAGAGACACATCTGTAATATCCAAATTTCAAGGACAAACAGAAAGAAAGGGTTTGGAAAAGGGTCTTCTACCTTCTGCCACATATCAAATCAGTTGTGTTTAATTACGGAATCTTAGGTGTTAAAATTACTGAATACTGGGTGAAGACTGGCAGCCTCGTACAAGAAAAGAAAACAACAGACAAGATATGGTAAAATAGTGTGCTAAAACCCCTTTAAAATAGTCTGCTATTATATGTCACAATTATCTGAAGATGTCAGGTGAACCATTTTAGAGCTCCACAGAGCCTGCCATGATGTCATGGCAGCTCTTTCAACCACAGAGCACATCAACTGGGGCTCAGCAGTTTAGCCAGCTGCAAAGCCCAGAACAGGCTGAAGTAGACCAAGTACAAGGGTTTGGCATAGCCTGTCTGCACCCATCTGGCACCTCACAGATAGGCAAACAATCTGTAGGCCACAGTAGCTGAGCTTCCAACTTCCAAAATCCTTGAGCAGGCTCTCAGACAGGCAGGCAGAATTCAAACTACTTAGGGAAATGCTGAAGTAAGACTGTAAGAGATTAAGTGGGAAGTCTGAAGCCACAGATTTTACACCAAGAGTTTATGAAAATCTCACCCAGGAGCACAGCACATAAGAGTCTCAAGTTGCCTTAAGAAACCAGTCAACCAACTAGATAGAAACAAATCCCAGTTTATGTTGAAAGAAATGATTTTGTTTTAAAAAGCCTCCCTCAGCTATTTCACCTTTTTTTTGGTCAAATATTATACAAATCTTAACAGTTCTGCATCAGTCCCTTAATTTTGTGGAACCAAATTTCTGCTCTGCAAGAAAAAAGGAATGTAATGCAATAAAAAACCAGAAACTCAGCGAACAGCAAAAGTAGTTTATGTATTTCAAAAGGACATGCCCCTTTGAAAAAAAAATACTCAGTTGGAAGTGTTCAACTGATAAAGAAATCCTATAATACTTTGACTTAGAAACATTCAAACTGTTGAAAAATAACATCGCAGGGCTGAAGAAATAAATCAAAGTTCATTGGCCAAACTCTACTCTCAGAAAGGAAGAGCTAAGATCAGAATTTCTCTCAATTGCTATTTGTTCTCCTATTTTATAATTGAATCTTGCAATCTTTCCTCAGACAAAATCATCCTCTGGGATTGCTGGCATTTTTTATGACTTCAAAACTTGGCACTCAGTGTTCTCAGGAGAAAAATCTTTAAGAGTTAAAAGTATACAGCTAAGCTGCAAAGAAGAACCGGCCAGCAGTGGCATGACCCCATCCCCTAGCAACAGAAATCAATAACAACAAAGATAACATAATTACACCACAGAAAGGATCCAGAGGGCAGATTATGTCAAGTATTATGTTGTTAAGAAAGAATGACATGTGAAACAGACAGAATGTTTTAAACATGGATGAAAATACAGAAAATGTGGAAGGTAGATAAAGAAAGGTGGAATACAAACACAGAATAAATTAGCCTGCAGACTCTGAAAAGAGAGAGAAAATTATTTCTGTTCCTGCTTTCACTGTTTTATTTATTCAGTACACAGAATTAGATTCCCAGGGGAGCAGCAAAAGGCATTTTATTTCACAAGAAGCATTGTGGTATGGTGAAAATAGATGACCCTATGATGACAGCCTTTTTTTGGAGCTCTGGAGACCCAGTTCATTTCCTGTTTAGGTACAGATGGTCCATACTACTTAGACAAATCTTGGGCTTCCTGTTCCTCAGTCTCCCATCTGGAAAAGAGTACCAGTAGAAGTATATGGATTCAGAACTGAGACGGATCAGACAGTGCTGTAGTCTTGGAATTACATGTAATTACCTACAGCAGAAAGATTCCTGTCTGCATTGGCCCAGAACATACATTTGTCTCTTGAACAATGCACTTCATTTTGCTGTTCAGGTTTCCCATAGAAGAGGCAGGACATTGTGTTGGGGCAGCCCTCCACTTCCCTGCAATATTCACAGCTCTGGCACCACCTACCCACCAGCACCAAGGTTGTTTGGAAACATGTTCACTTACACAACTCTCTGCCAATGCTTTCACATAGCTTTGAAACAGTGACTAACGTGGGGTAACTTTTCAAGAACAATCTCATTTGGAAGACCTGTTGCCCAAGGGGTGGACTTGTCCCCCTGCACTGCTGTGGGGTTGAGGAGGGAGAACAAAGAAGGAAGGAGGGGTGGGTGGAAAGTGTGTTTAAGACTGTTTTATTTCTCACTCTTTAGATCTTATCCTGTTAGTAATAAATTTTAGTATTAACCCTACGTTAAGTCTGTTTTGCCTGTGTGACCTCTCACAGCTCAGAGCGACTTTAGTGGGTGCCTAGAATCCGACCAAGGTCAACCTACGACAACAGTGCTGTCTCATCATGATCTCTACTGATAAGCAGGCTAAGCTATAGCTTTATGAACTCAGTTTCCAAGTACTCAAGGAACTCAAAACCGGGATCTGGGCGAGATGTTTGTAGTAACGATTTTTTGGGGGGTGGTGAAGACGTACACCAAGAGTATAATTTTCACTTTTTTTTTCCTGGCATTTTGGGAAAGAACCTTCTGAATGACCAATATACGCTCATGAACAGTCCTAGCAGTTCAACCAGTAATAATGAAAAAGCCCAAATTAGACAGACAGAGAAAAAGAGTGTTTTAGGATGTATGCGAGCCGTAACTCACACCATGGGTTTTGTCTCACTTAAGTGCTATGGTACCTGTTTTCATTGACATCCCTGTAGCACCTGATGTGGTCAATCTTTCTATCTCTACATCAAATTTTAAATTGGTGGAGTTCGAGTGTCACACATCGGGGACACATAAGAAGAGAGATACCTAAATGCAGAGACTACATCTACAGCAATAAATGAAGCAGGGCTAGGAACAGCCTCAGACACCATGTCTCAGTCATCCACACTGCTAACTTATAATGTTTCCGGGCATAGTTTTGGCCCAAGGCTGAAAGCCCATCTTGAAAAAGTCCTGGGCCCAATTTAGAAGTTGACACTGGCCAGGGAGCACTCCCAATTGCAGTTCCAACATAGGTACCCTGATTTGGAGAGTGAGAGAATTTAACAGTATGGGCAGGCTCTTTCATGCCATTTGGCCTCAGAGTCAATTCTGGGTACATTTAATTGACTCATAGGTACATAATCTGTGATTCCTTGTGCCTTTTTACCATGGAAAACAAGCCTCAACGGTGTTACTATTCTCAAAGTCTTCCTAATTCTTTTTATTTTTTAACTAATTCTTAGAGACCATTGCTTCTTGCCTCCAATCTATGCAAATTCCTGTGTTTTTTGAACCTTTGCAGGCAAGAGCCACAAAGGGGCCTGCTTTGCTGTGGTACCCATCTTTCTATCTCTTTTATTAGTAGAAGTAGCTGATAACAGACCAATTATGGTCATTATTCCTGTTATAAGATGTAAAACTCAGCACAGATGGTATCTTATTCAATCTTAACATGATGCAAACAAAAGAACTATTTTAACACACTGTATAAAATCAGGGGACTTTCCACATTCTTTCCCAGGAGTGCTTGAAAGCTCATGATTTAGCTGACTTGGCACCTACCCTAGACCCACCAGCCAAACTGGACTATTTTTCCTTCAGAACAATATGTTTTGGAGATATTACTAAATCTTGTTTTTTCCCCAGCTTCATATGGAACTGTGTTAATCACAGCTCAGTGGATGGGAGAATCAGTGCAGTGGATACAGTTTCATAAACCCTTTCCACAGCCTGCGCAGTCAGCCTCCTCTAATACTGGCTGTTACAGTTCCCCTATTTGAGCTGCTGTTTAACTCGACTGCTTTCCCTTTGTGTCACCCAGCTCATCTTTTCTAAACCCTAAAAAGGTTTATCAAAAACTAATCAAGTCACTGATGGTGTCTCCATATGATATAAATGAGTCAGACTTTTCAACCAGGACTCCCTGTAAGTTAATTTGAAACAAGGTCGTTACCTGCATTTATTAGAAGTTTTTGAGATGAGAAATGCTTTTGAAGGCTGAGGTTAAAAAAAATGAGGCTGGGATGAGTTAATACATTTTTTTCTGTCTGGTAATCTTACAATCCACAGGGACATGGAGATTACTTCTATAGTTCAATTTACTAGTGTATATTCACATGAAGTAAGAAGAGTTTCCACTAGAAGTAAGAATACTTTGATTTTTTTGTGGCAAGTACTGTGTTAAAAAAAAAAAATCAGGCATAGTGTAATTTAACACAGAAACACATAGAACTAAGTGGCAAGCAGGTAGAAAATGCAAACAGTTTAAAAAATGCATAGATTCTATCTCAGTAATAAAAAATTTGGATAGAGAATCCTGTCAGTGGTAAAAATCATGATTATTATCTGTTGTGTACAATATTCACATTCCTTAAGGATACTGTAGTTATTTCATAAGTTGCTAAATGGTACATGATATCAGGGAGAAAAAAATGTGATTTGGAACTGTGGAAAGGAAAAGAAAATCTTCACTATTTTATAATTCAAACTTATTATGTTTTAGTAGTTTGTCAACGATAATGACTCTGAGTATCTGAATGCCAGCTCCTAAAATTAACTTATTCGATATCTTTGTTTAGAACTCACTGTAAACAAAAGAAATGAATTTATTTTTGGTCAACTCTTTTGGAAGGGCTGCATTCTTTAGGCAAGTCACTAAAAATCTCCTGGTTTAACTGATAACCATTTAAAAATGAACCACTGAACAGCACTGAGTGTATGCTTATATAAATGAGCATATTATTAGCCTTGATCCAATCAATCACACATTTCAATAGCTACAGGAAATGGCACCAGTGTGGATCAAATAACACACACAAATCATTACTGCTAAACTGAGTGTAAGTTATTGAAAAATTCCTCTTTAATTGGTGGAAACATTTGTCTACTTTCCCTCCCTCAGCTTCTTTCATATCTGGTGCATAAGAAACCGTGTTGTTGCTATTCCTGTTTCTGAATTCCAATGACATGTTCAGGATCACACACATTTATAAAGAAGTTAAGTTACTTATGATCTAGTTGAATATAGACAACAATATTTGTTTGATGATATGTGAGGTAGAAACACAATAGCTTAAAGATGTATGGCTGAAAAAAATGCTAAAAAGTGTTAACTGATTTGAGGTACAACAAAGAGTGAAAAGCTTTGTGTCTTGAGCTGATTAGAGAAGTGTTTGAGAAGAACAAACCATTGTTGAAATCAGTGATTGTGTTAACATTCAAGTATTTTCTGATTTTCCACTTGATGATCTGAAGTCCAATAAAACCTGAAGTTTCACATTTTTCTGGTTTTTTCCCCTGTTTTTTAAAAAACTGTGGAACCACAAGAATAATAAAATAATCTAAAACTAAAAGTAATATAAATTTATCCAAAAGTTTCTGAGGGCATGGAGCTGTGAAGGAAAGCAGCCTGCCATGCTGTTCACTTCTGCTCACAAAGCCCTGCAGAAAGAAAGGAGCCATACCAAAGCACAGTTAAATTTGTCCTCAACATTTATGTGTCAGCAGATAATTCCTATGCCCAAGGTAATGCAGGGAAATAACGGTATTGGTATTCAAAATGAAGGGCCTGCCCTTGACCCTGCTGACCCATCTCTGCTCCAAGATGTATATTAGTTCTTAAATGAAACAGTAATATGTTTGGAATATGCATATACTTTGTTACAAGTGCTTCTTCCTCACTGGGAAGCCAAATAGAAAAGGCTTTCCCATTTTTTACCCACTGACAGAATGGACCTGTTGGAAGAACAGTTCTTCCTTGCCCCTTAAAATATAAAGGGTGTGATTCTTGACTGCAAATGAATAGCAGAAATAACTGTTGAGGTTAGTGAAGCTCAACAGTAAGGAAAATGAGAACCACATCCTAAATGTCAGCACAGTCCCTCTAGATTTTCTGTACTGCTTGGCACTTAGACAACACTTTTTATCTGAGGAACTCAAAAGGCCAGTTCTTAGTTCAATCTTGTAATACCCCTCTGAGGCTGGTAAAATGCCCAACCAAGGGAACTTGAGTACAGAAAGGTTAAATAATTTACTGACAGTCACACACTGTCAGTGGCAGAAACCAAAGGCCCAAATGCCCAGACCTGTGCTGTAAATGTAACAAGCAATAAGCAGATTCTGGCCATTGTCAGTCGGTTTGTGTATCTGTTCTTTAATGGAATGCATTGACTATGCATCCTTTGGGGCTTAAATGCTCAGTAAATCAAACTGAGCTAAGGCTTGTTTTAAATAGATGTAGATTTCTAAAACAAATAGCAGCATTCGCTCAGAGAAGTGGATCATAACTCATGGATAGCCTGTTGTTTTGGAAAGAGTAATCAGCAAAATGCAGGGAGAATTTTTACAGTGTTATGTAGTAACAGTTATCACTCCTGTACAATATTACATTTAATAGCAAAGTCTCTGCTGAAACTGCAATACTGCAAATCCTTAAAATGCTTCTTTGTGGAGGGTAGGAGTTATTATATTTAGTTTCCATGCAAAGAAACGGATGTCCATTTGGAAACTGGAAAAGAAGAGGATTCTGCTCAAACCAATTTAAATTTTAAATATCTCAAGTAATGACATTAGAAGGAAAATGGAACTTAAATGTTGCCCCATTTAAGAATCTGTTATACAGGATTTACGAAAACTTGATGTAAAATCTGAACTTGTAGGCCAGGATTTCTGTAATTCTAGACCAGTAAGCAACCCACTATAAATCCTGTTTAGTAGCTTTTTTATAATTAGTGAACTTCCAGCAATTAAAGAAAAAACCAGCAACAGTCATAGGGATAGTTAGGTCAGGAAAATCTTTTTTTTTTAATAGCCAATATATACAACAGGAATGTGCTTATTAAATTTGCAAGTGGCATGGAGCTAGGACGAATTGTGAGTACCTTAGAGGACAGGATTAGAATACAAAATGATCCTGCTAGTTGGAGAAATGACCTAAAAATGTAGGATGTAAGTCTAAGAGGATGTACAGTTAGGTAA